AAAAAAAAAAAAAAAAAAAAAAAAAAAAAAAAAAAAAATCACAATTTTTAAAAACGTTATTATAATAACAGAAACTCCTGCAGGCGATTCTTTGCCGTAGCGCTCTGCTTTGGGCGTTTGGCGCTGCGGATGCCTCGAGGAGGGAAAATAATAATGACCGCCATGGCCAACTGGAACAACCTTGAAGCTTATGCAAGTCGGTAGCTATGGAGAGAGGCGTTCAGAGATGGGTTGTTGACATTTCCGAGTGGAATCCTTCTCCCCCTGAGTTCTCCTCTGCGCTGAATCTTCTCCCTCGCCATGAACATTCCTCCATCCTTAGGTTAGTTCCTTTAACTGAATTTTTGCTCATTTTCTGAATTTTGAATGAGATATGAACGCTTTCGATATGTCTTGTTGTTCTTTTTTTTTTTTTTTTTTTTTTTTTTTTTTTTTTTTTTTTTTCTGTTTGTTTNTTCAGAATATTGAAATAGAAACTGAAATTGATTGCAACTTTGTAACTCTCTGTGGGAATAGATGTGGAATCCTTGCGTTGTTTGTTGCACGAGATTTAGCTTAATTTGTGGTGAATATACGTATTCTAGTCGCCCGATTTTTTAAAATATAACCATTTTAGTATCTAAGTTCTCTTGATGTGTGTTTAATCTTTGAATTTATACATATTACGTGTGAGATCCCTGCTCGGTTGGAGAGGGGAACAAACATTCTTATAAGGGTGTGGAAACCTCTCTAGTAGATACGTTTTAAAACCTTGAGGGGAAGCCTGGAAGGGAAAGCCCAAAGAGTACAATATCTTCTAGTGGTGGGCTTGGACTGTTTCAAAGGTATTAGAGCCAGACACGAGTGGTGTGCCAGAGGAACATTGGGCCTCAAGGAGGGTGAATTGTGAGATCCCACGTCGGTTAGAGAAAGGAACGAAGCATTCCTTATAAACATGTAGAAACCTCTCCCTAGTAGATGCGTTTTAAAACCTTGAGGGGAAGTCCAGAAGGGAAATCTCAAAGAAGGCAAATATTTGCTAGCGGTGTGTTTGGGATGTTGCAAAGGTATTAGAGCCAGACACCGGGTTGTATGCTAGCGGGGACCCTGGCCCCGACGGAGAATGGATTGTGAGATCCCACATCGGTTGGAGAGAGGAACGAAGCATTCCTTATAAAAGTGTGGAAACCTCTTCCTAGTAAACACGTTTTAAAACCTTGAGGGAAAGCCCAAAGACGACAATATCTGCTAGCGGTGGGTTTGGATTGTTAACTTGTGTGATTTAGATTTTGCTCTTGTTAAGATGGGTCAATATCAAGACAGGATTTGAAACTTTTTTTCTACTATTTGTGAGTGTCCAAATCAATTTGGGCACATCTCGACTATTTTAACGGTCTTACCCTACTACGTTAGATCACCATATTAAATCCTAGTTACTATAATGGGAACTCGTTCACTTCGAGCTCGTTACTATTTTCATCGGTTTTTATTAACCATCGACCACGAGGCGAACCCAATACCTTTTCCCATTAGAAATGATCTTACAATTATATTTTTGATGAACAATTAAGCCATAGTGATGGTTGACCTCTATTTATTTCCTTGTTCATAGATTTTTTAAGATGGAAGACAGGAAACGTGCGCTTGTGAGTCGGCTGCTTCAGTATGTTCTTGTGCATAACATATTGAAAATCCCTTACGATGAAATAATTATCAAGCGCACATTGGAAGGCAAGCCATATCTGGTATGGTTGGAATTTGGAGTATATAAATAATAAGTTGCACGTTTTTTTTCATTAATCCCTATAAGTATGATCCGTGTTCCGAACTAAAATAGTTTAGGCCTCGTTTAGTAACCAGAAAATTTGCTTGTGACATCGAGTTTTATCTTTCTTAAGAAAATATTCGAATTCTTAGCTAGATTTCAAAAACAAAAACAAGTCTATAAACGAGGTTAGTAACCACAAAATTTGCTTGTGACATTGAGTTTAGGCCTCGTTTTTAGTTTTCAAAACTTGGTTTGGTTTCTGAACACGTGTAAAACGTAGATAACAAAACGGGAAGCCCGAAGAACAAGGACCGTTCTCTTTTCGGCTCGGATACTTATCGAGTTTTGATATTTGATAGCTCCATGTGTTGATGGTTAGTTCTACAGCATTCAAGACATGTTAACTAATATCATCCAAATTCTGAACTATCTTTTCAGGAATGTGATAAAGTTGGCTCAGAATTTCCCAATTTTAATTTCAATGTATCACATCATGGTGATTATGTGGTGATAGCATCAGAGCCTCTGTGTCTTGTGGGGTTGGACGTTGTCTCTTACACCATTCCCCAAAATGAGGATACCATTGCCTTTGTTAAGAACTTCTCGTCTTACTTTTCAAGTTTAGAATGGAAGAACATCATGAATGCTAGCTCTAGCTCCAGCTCGAGTGTTTTGGTTGAGTTCTACAGGTTCGACCGAACTCCAACTTTGTTGTTTAGCTCTCGATGAATGCATTTTGATTTAGTTTTCTTCATTTAGACCCTAACTATGAGATCCCACATCGGTTGGGGAGGAGAACGAAGCATTCTTTATAAAGGTGTGGAAACCTCTCCCTTTAAAAACCTTGAGGGGAAGCCCAAAGAGGACCATATCTACTAGCGTGGGCTTGGGCTGTTACAAATGGTATTAGAGTCAGACACTGGGCGATGTGTTAACAAGGAGACTGCCTCGAAGAGGAGTGGACATGAGGTAGTGTGTTATCAAGGATGCTCGGTCCTAAAGGGGGTGGATTGGGGGGTCCCACATCGATTGGAGAAGGGAATGAGTGTCAGCGAGGACGCTGAGCTCTGAAAGGGGGTGGATTGTGAGATCCCACATCGGTTGGGGAGGAAAACGAAGCACTTTTTATAAGGGTGTGGAAACCTCTCCCTAGCAAATGCGTTTTAGAAACCTTGAGGGGAAGCCCGAAAGCGAAAGCCCAAAGAGGACAATGTCCGCTAGCGGTGGGCTTGGGCTGTTACACTAACGTTCCCTCAAACTTTTGTCACGGATTCGACAATCATCCCCCCAAAGTAAATAAATAATTCGAGTTGTTAACTGTTTCGGTTGCAGTGCAGATATTGGTCTCTCAAAGAAGCATATGTGAAAGCTATTGGAAGTGGAATGATGGCATACGGGTTGGAGCAAGTTGAGTTTCTTCATGATGGATGGAACAACATACGAGCTAAAGTTGGAGGTGAAATTCTGAAAGAATGGAGATTTTGGCTCTCAGAGATGGGAAATAGACATTGTGTAAGTTTCACATTACATGATCTTTATGGCCTATCTTTTGAATGTTTTGATTATAGATTCTGAATTGGATTCGAGAAATGTTCTTCGAACTTTATCGGATTGACTGAAAAAAAAAAACAAAAATTAAACACGTGAAATCTGGTTGAATTGTATCGTTCTAACTTTCTGTGTTTCCTGAACGTAGAGTTTGCAGTAGTATCTAATTGTTGGAATTATAGGGCCTAAATTCTAATTTTTAAAATCTATGATGGATCGAGAAGGGTCATTTTGTAACGGCCTAAGCTCACTGTTAGCAGATATTGTCTTTTTTGGGCTTTTTCTTTTTTTATTGATATTCCGACGAGATTTCCGGCGAGGTCTTGATTTCCGTGGGGTAACCGTATTGTGAGATCCCACATTGGTTGTAGAGGAAAACGAAACACTCTTTACATGAGTGTGGAAACCTCTCCTTAGTAGATGCATTTTAAAAACCTTGAGTGGAAGCCCGAAAGGGAAAGCCTAGAGAGGACAATATAAGGATAGCAATACCGATTCGGTATACTCTAGCTTGATCCAGAAATAGCTAGAAGCAATAAACTTACAGTCATTTGCTGACTGTTGAGATTGGATAGAGTGACTGAAGGCTGATGATATATCCACTTCTGTCAATGTTTTCTTATTGATCTCAGGTGGCAGTAGCCAAGGGGCACCCGAGATCGGCTACCGAGAGCTACCGAAGGACTCTAACAAGGACGGAGTTCGAACCCGACGAATATCGTGCTGGTCTTCTTCTTCCCAATATCAGCTTTGTGTCAAAAAGTGTAGAACAACTAATTTCCATATCCATGGAGTGAGGCTTTGATGCCTGAAGACTGATTGCGAGAGATAGTTCAACATGCTTGTTTGGCTAAGTTGGGCATATAAACCATCAATTGTTGAGGGTTGAGATTACAGTGAAAACGTGTGCTTTAAGTGATTTTGAAATTCTAGGCTCGACGTCCAAGAATTCTTTACTCGACCAACTCAACTCCCTACATTATAGGTTGAGTTGTCAAGTTACTTGAGTTCGAGTTAAGTTCGAATGTATGAAAATTTTATGAATTAGGCTGGTTCATAAATTCCCACGAAACTTCTCATTTATTGGGGGGGGACGAGGAAGCCTTTCCCGTCCCATCTCCGCCACTTATTTCATTCTCATCTCTATGACATTTTACATTTATTTTTACGGGAATCGAGGTCAAGGTTCTCGATGAAAAATTTGCGAGTAATTTTTTCCTATTTATTATTCTTATTTAAAAATATAGTTATTTTTAGAAGTTTTCATCTTTTTAATATAATATTTCTTAAAAAATCATAACAAATAGATATATTTTATAATGTTCGGGAACATAATTTTTAAAACTTTTAATTTAAAAATTACAATATAGTCTTTCATAATTAAAAAGAATTTATAGTTATTTTTCTAAAATAGCAAAAGAGCATATATAAATAAATATATATATTTCACATTGAAAATATATTTATATTAAACACGGGCGGGAAAAAATATAATTTGTCTCCCGTCCCATTTAAACGCGGTCCTATAGTTAAAATAGACATCTCGAAATTTTTTCCCGGGTTCAGATGAGTCTCAAACAAAACAGGCATCCATCTGTACTTTTTAACTACTCTAGAATTGAAAATTTTAAATTGGTTTAATGTAATTTTTTAAAATATATAATAAAATTGACTTATAAATCATAATTTAAGGTTGGCAAATAAATAAAAATATATTTTATTTAAACTTTTTCCATGGACTATATATTATGATAGTTGAAATTATTAATATCTTTTTATATTTTAGGTTATTATTAAAAGGTTAAAGCCACGTGGACGGTACGTGAAAAGGAAAAGAAAAGAAGAGAAAAAACCTAACGTCTCATTCTCCCTTCCTCTCTCACTGTTTTCAGGCCGCCGGCGACTTGCAGGACCGCGACGACGCTACGGCCTCGCATCTGCCTTTCCCGTAGGGTTCTGTAGCGCTCATCACCACGAGCTTAAGAGCGACGGATACACACGCGGCGGCGGACTCAAGAGACCTTCTCCGGCGTACCACGAGCGTTGCCGGCGCAGCTTCCTGTCCATCAACGGCGGCTCATTAAAAAAAGAAAACCAGTGTTTAAAGGGAACGGGTGTATTCGGTGTTGTTTTTGTGCACTATATTGGCAGTCGAGATTGCATTAGCATCTTACATTTGCCTAATCGTTCTGATAGTTAGTACACACTGAAATCTCAGTGGTTCAACCGAAATGGCGGCTTTCAATCTCGTTGCGAATATGTATGATCCGGCTTTGAAGCCTCGCTTGCTACACAAGCTTCTCAGAGAACATGTTCCGGACGATAAACAGACGTTTAATGATCATTCAGAACTCTCGAAGGTGGTTTCTATGGTTAAAATCCATAATCTCCTCTCTGAATCTTCGTCTTCCATGGACCAAAAACTGATGGATAGCTGGAAATCCGCCGTTGATTCCTGGGTCAACCGCTTGCTTGTTCTGCTCTCTAATGATATGGTATGAACATGCATTTCATCTAATTCTGTTTAAATTACAAAAACCCTAGGGATAGGGAGGGGCTTTAGCTTTTACATTAAAAGGATATTATTATGATTTAGAACAAATTGAAACTTTTAGGGTGCCTTAAACTGTGTATTCTATAGACATAATGGGATTCATTGAGGCTATTCCAAACTTCATCAGGTGAGATTTTACAAGAAATTGATATTGTTGCACAAAGTTACCTGAGAAACTCAAGATTTCAAACTTGCTTGAATATTTCAAAATTGATATTGTTACATAATATTGACTATATTTTTTGAGAAATTGCACAATTTCATTCAGCGGTTACTAATGTTAACTTCCAATTTTTTTAAAGCCTGATAAATGTTGGGCTGGAATCATTTTACTGGGCACGACTTGTCAACAATGCAGCTCGAGTCGTTTCTTGGCATCGTATGCAGATTGGCTTCACAAGCTTCTGCCTCACTTGCAGGTAATAATTATTTTTTTCTTGGATGGATTCCTCAGTATTTAGCTACACGTATTGAGCGGCGAAGATCTTAAATGATGAAGTATGTCTAAAGAAGAACAAGAGACTTATTATACATTGGACAGAATTTAGATACCGGGGGAGAAGCAATGATTCTGGATAGAATTTGTTATAATCGAAGTGATTATTGCTCGTTGGAAAGAATGTATAATAACTTGCTGGAGGAATGTGCTAAAAATTGCCATAAGATAACCTTTTGGCTGTTCATTAATGCTAATGGAACTAGGGAACTGGCACATAGCTATTTTCGAGCATACTAATTTGATGTTTGTCATGATCGATGATGCGGGAGTTCTGAGTTGGGGGATATGCTAATAATTTTCACGTGGTTCATTTTATCAAGTATAAAGTGGGAATGCTATGTAATTACAGAAAGTTGTCAAGTTCCTTCTTTTGCTGTTTGATTTATTTATATAGTTTTCATCTTTAGCTTTTCAACTCATAGATCATCATGCTTTCTTATACTTGAATGCTACCAAAAATTTTACACTATTTTTGTTTCTTGTGTTTTTTCTTTGTTCTATAGACAGATTCTCAGTTTCTGAAGGTGGCCACGTGTGCTTCAATCTCAGATTTATTCTTGAGGTACATCTTCATCTGACCTTGGACAGAAATTTATCATACAATTTGTCCCTCAAACATAAATCAATTAGTTAAATATACCCGTATGTGAGATCCCACATCGGTTGGAGAGGGGAACGAAACATTCCTAGAAGGATGTGGAAACCTCTCCCTAACATACGCCTTTTAAAACCGCAAGGCTGACAACGATACGTAATGGGCCAAAACGGACAATATCTACTAGCGGTAGGCTTGGGCTGTTACAAATGGTATCAGAACCAGACATCGGGCGGTGTGCTAGCGAGGACACTAGGCCCCAAGGGAGGTGGATTGTGATATCCCACATCGGTTGGAAAGGGGAACGAAACCGTCCTTATAAGGGTGTGGATACTTCTCCCTAAGAGATGCATTTTAAAACCGTGAGGCTGATGGCGATAGGTAACGGACCGAAGCAAACAATATTTGCTAGCGGTAGGCTTGGGCTGTTACACCTTCCCAAAAGAAAAATATCAATGTTAAACCTTTTGCAAATGAAAAATAATTTATAGGATTTGTAAATTTTGAGATCTGTAGATTCAACTTTTGAATGTTGGCTTAAGAATAATAGACCATTGGTTTAATCTCATTCTGCAAGTTAGTTGTTACTTTTAGTTTATTTTGTCTATAACTTTAAAGTAATATTCTTGACCATAATTTGGCTGGTTTCATGACTTGTAATGATCTCTCGTTTACAAACTAGATTGGGCCGATTTCCAAACGTGAAGAAAGATGGGACTTCTTGTGCTGGGAAGGTCATTCAACCAGTTATTAAGCTGTTGCATGATGATAATACAGAAGCTGTTTTGGTAAGTAGCACAGGTGAACTCACATTTTTCGTAGACTATTTCCATGTGTTCAGGTGCTCAATAATTTTGGAACTACGATATTTCGATGATCTGTGCCAACGCCTCATATCCTTTTGTACTCTTTGCTCGGTAGTTAGAACTTTCGTTACCCATTCATATATGTAATGATCTGCATGTTGGTTGATGCAGGATGCAGCAGTTAATCTATTATGCACTCTGATTGCTTTCTTTCCCTTTACAATCCATCGTCATTACGACTCTGTAAGTGCATTATTGAATAATGTGATTTCCATTCTATTATAAATTGCATTTATGGGACTAATGGTAGTTCTCCGACTTATCTGTATACCGATGGTGTAATCTAAGCTGCAGTAGAAAAAAAAATCACAAACAAACTGCAATGAAAAAGCTGGAGAGAGTATACCAATACTAGCTAGAAGAATTTAATTTTGTCCCACAACTATACTCCATCCATAGAAATTTATTCCTTTTCTTCTTCTTCCACCAAATGCTCATACCAAGGGAGAGCTTAGTAGTTCAACTTTGTTGGTATTCCAACAATTTTTATAAAATTTAATAGCAAACCTTTTTGTCCCAGAGGTATGAGGGCTGTCATTTATATTACTTTGCTGGCCTTTCTCAACATCTCAGCACGTACGGCTTCATGTTGTCATCATGTTATTTATCTGCGTAAATGAAAAATCTAAGAATGTAGAAATCCCGGACGAAGTTTGTTTTAATGTTGAAATATCGATGCTTGTCTTGCAGGCCGAAGCTGCAATTGTTTCAAAAATCTTTTCAGGGAACTGTAGTTTTAATATGCTGAAGGTATTTGGCCTCTTTTTAATTTAATTTAATCATAGATACCACTATAAACATAAAATTTCTCCTATAATTTTCTGTCTCGGTTTCATATCCAACATTTAGAAGCTTGCTCACTGCCTAGCATCACTTCCAAAATCAAAAGGAGATGAAGATAGCTGGACTATACTAATGCAGAAGATTTTGTTATCAATTGACATACACTTGAATGAGGCCTTCCAAGGCATTGGTGAAGGTAAACATGAACTGTATATCAAGTAGAGCTATCCTAATTTATGAAGATGGTGAGAATGATCCAATGATCCATTTGATTGTTTTTGTAGACTCGAGAGGTAACGAAGTCGTAAGGCTACTGATTCCACCAGGAAAAGAACCTCCACCACCGTTAGGTTGTAATTCATCGGCAGAAGGCTCCTTTGACAAACTAACAAAGAGCTCAGAGCGAATGTTAACTTCTATTATCTCGACCTTGATGTTTTGCTGTTCTACAATGATAACAAGTTCATACCCCCATCAGGTAGCATCATGTCATCCATTTTTTACTACTCATAAATATATTGAAATGAAGAAGAAAAAGGATGTTTAATGGATATTTTGTATGTATTTTCTCAGGTGGCAGTTCCGATTCGCCCGTTATTAGCTCTTGTTGAGAGAATGCTGACGGTGGATGGTTCTCTGCCGCCCGCTTCAGTGCCATTTATGACATCTCTACAGCAAGAGTCAATGTGTTCGGAACTCCCGACCCTGCATTCAGACAGTTTGGATCTTCTCATTGCCATAATTAAGAGCCTTCGCAGGCAAGGCATCTACTATTCAACTACATTTAATATCTAACATAGAAACCTTAAGGCAGACTCTTTCAGTAATCCTTCTTCATTCATAGATATGCCTTTCTTCCTCCATCTCTGGAAGATGCAATCCCCACTGTTTATTTCAGAGCCGATGATCTTTCACGTTCACGTGAATTAAAAAATAACCTAATAGTAATACTACAAATATTCGCGCTATATTTTTGTTAATATATTTATTATTAAATTCCTTTGCAGTCAGCTGTTACCACATGCTGCATTTATTGTTCGACTCATTGTGAAGTACTTCAAGAAATGTGTGTCTGCAGAATTGAGAGTAAAGGTCTACGCAGTTGCTAAGTTATTGATGATGTCTTTGGGCGTTGGTAAGCAGAAGTACATTTATTTGTATATTTACCTATTTGTCAATTATTCTTCTTTTCTTAGAGAGTGTTAGGCAATATGTAATTATAGCATTATTAGACAGATAATTTGATTGGATTTGTTGCATGCCCTTTCTTATTCTAGTTAAGATTCAGTCTTTCTGTAACGGCTCAAGCCCACTGCTGGTAGATATTGTCCTCTTTAGGCTTTCCTTTTCGGACTTCTCCTCAAAGTTTTAAGAACGCGTCTGCTAGGGAGAGGTTTTCACACTCTTATAAAAAATGTTTCGTTGTCCTCCTCAACCATGTGGGATCTCACAATCCATTGATGGTTTTTAAAATGCAAGGCCAGCAAATATTGTCCTATTAGGTTTTCCTTTTTGGGCTTCCCCTCAAGATTTTTTAAACGTGTCTGATAGGGAGAGGTTTTCACACCCTTATGAAAAATGTTTCATTTTCCTCCCCAACTGATGTGGGATCTCACAAGGTTTTTAAAACGTGTCTTCTTGATGGTTGACCAAAAAAAATATATATAAAAAAAAAAATATATATATATATATATATATTATTCACTAAAGGATTCTCAGAATTCAATTTGATCTTTAGTTTCTTTTTGGAGCTAACTGAAATATTTTTAGGCTATGTGAGGAATATAGGATAGGATCTTCCTTTGTTGTCCTTGATAAAATCATTAGAAAATGTAAAAAATATATTTTATGTGTTTCATTTGGTAAGGATATTATTATTATTATAGTTTTCTTTTTGTCTATATGGAAATGATGTTTTGGGATGCATGCTTACTGGACGCTGCGTCTGAATCAGGAATGGCTGCATCTCTTGCACGAGATGTGATCGACAATGTACTAGTCGATTTGAACCCTGTTGATAACGAGAGTTGTGCTCCATCTAGTGTGAATCCGAAGGATGCCCAAAGAGAATTGCCGCAACACCATAAGAAGAGAAAACGTCCTTTAGTTCCCACTTCATTTAAAGAGCAGCATGAGGGACATGGATCCAGAGACATTACCAGCAGCTGTACGTCCACTTCTGTCCCCTTGAGGATAGCTGCACTTGAGGCTTTGGAGACTCTTCTTACGTTGGTAGGCATTTTATAACTAATCTGTGGCTTTTTGTAAGGTTGTGCTTTGGGACATTTTTGGTCCCCTTTTGTTTCTGATATTGTTGCTAAATGATATTGTTGCATAGGCTGGTGCTTTGAGAACTGAAGAAGGATGGCATGCAAAAGTCGAACATCTTTTAATAACAGCCGCAATGTCGTCTTTCGAATGGCCACTGGCCTCAGATGACGTCTTTTTCCAAACTAATGAATCTATTGAGGTTTGGGCGGATTATCAGTTGGCAGCATTTCGTGCGCTACTGGCTTCGTTTTTGTCTGCTGTCCATATACGACCTCTGGCCTTGGCTCAAGGTCTTGATCTTTTCCGTAGAGGTAAATCTCTTTTGATGTTTCATTTGTTAACTGTAACGGCCCAAGCCCACTGCTAACAGATATTGTTTTCTTTGAGTTTTTTCCGTCTACCACACCTTTATAAAGAATGTTTTGTTCTCCTCCTCAACCAACGTAGGATCTGTCGTAAACTATTTATCAGAGAAAAATTATGCATAGAACAGCAGATGTTAGCTATTTTCTGATGGGTATTTTTATCTTCAGGTAAACAAGAACTTGGAACCAAACTTCCTGAATTCTGTGCGCATGCACTCTTAGCCTTGGAGGTTCTAATACATCCAAGAGTACTTCCCTTGTCGGATTTCTCGCCCGTGCATTTGAGCTCTCCCGAACCACAAGCTACCTATAAAATCCCGGAAGATATGTACATCGGTGGTATGAATTCTGGCAAATCGTTGAAGATCAACGACACTCTCGGCATGGACCAGAGTGCCCCTGATTTGGACGACGATTTCCTGTATGATAGAGAAGTTGCAGATGACATCGAAGAGGCTCCAATTAGAGATGCAGGTAATGAGATAAATAACAATGTAACGACATATAACACATCAAACAATCTCGAAACAGGACCCTCTGCCGATGCCCTACAGACTACAGAAACCCCCAAGAGGACCAAGCAGGAGGACACTGCAGCAGCCATCACAGATGCTGCAGGGATTGTAGAGAAAGATGATGTATTTGCTAATGCAAGAATGAACAGTTCTCCCGTGTCGTTAAAGTCCGACTCGAACTTATTGCCAGAAGACGATTTCCCCGACATTATTGATGCAGATCCTGATACAGACTGTGAGTGAACAAAGGTACTAACCATCTTAAATCTCAATTTTGTAGCAATAAGGATGTTGTTTTAAGTTCAATATTAACTATTTTTTGTTGTGTTGTATTTCATGTTACCATAGTTTAAGCTAATCATGGAAGAAGAAGAAGAAGCTATGTATATAAAGAGCATAGGATCTCACATTTTTGGTCATAAAATTAGGGTTTTCTTTCTCTTAAGACATTGTTCATTCCCACCAAGCAAAATTAATTGTCTTTGAATCATAATTTTTACACATTTTTGGACTAAATTTATTTTTGACAAAATTCATAAAATACAGAACAAAATGATCAAACGAGAAGATTTTATTTATTTATTAATAGATAAATTGTATTTTCGATTATTTTTGTTTAGTAGAAAAATAGTTGTAATTGATTGAGATATGTAGCAGTAATAATAAAATAAATGTTTAATTAATAAAATTACTCTTAATTTTTGTACTTGATCTTGAAAATATTATTAAAAAAATTTTAAAAATTAATAATGCCCTTTATTTTAAAAGATGTGAGATCCTACTTCGGTTGAGAGGATGGAACATCAAGAGTGTGGAAATCTACGTGAGGGAAAACATTAAGAGTGGAAATAAATCTCTCTCTAACGCGTTTTAAAATCTTGAGGGGAAGTTTAGAAGGGAAAACTCACTCTTTAAAAACCATGAGGGAAAGCCCGAAGAAAAGCCGGTTTAAATCTCTCTCTAATGCATTTTAAAACATTGAGAGGAAGTTTGAATGGGAAAACCTGCTCCCCAAAAACCATGAGGGGAAGCCCGGAAGAAAAGCCGGTCTTTAAAAACCATGAGGGGAAGCCTAGAAGAAAAGCTAGTCCTTAAAAACGGTAAGGGGAAGCCTAGAAGGAAAGCCGGTTTAAAAACTATGAGTGGAAGCCTGGAAGAAAAGCTGGTCCTTAAAAACTGTAAGGGGAAGCCTAAAAGGAAAGCCGGTTTAAAAACCATGAGTGGAAGCCTGGAAGAAAAGCTGGTCCTTAAAAACTATAAGGGGAAGCCCGAAAGGAAAGCCCGTTTAAACCATTACCAACTTTAAGTATTTTAAAAATATATTTGCATTTTTTAATCTATTAAATGCTATTTTTTAAAATTAATGATATTTTTTAAACACAAATTTAAACAATTTATTTTTTATATATATATTGATTTTTTTTTTAATTTATGGTACTTTTAATTTTTTTTGAAATTTTGATTTTTTTTTCATAAATTTAATTTAAGAATATTTTTATTAATTTAGCTTAAAATATTAAAATAAAAATGGGAAAATCGATTTCTTTTTTTTCATTTTAGCTTTCCACCCTTCGAAATGAAAATAGAAAAATATTTCATTAGATCCAGAGCTGATGTTAAAGATTATAAGTTGACTCATTATACTCTTAAATCTAAAATCAAAGATATTGATATTTCGACATTATTTCATGCAATTCTTCGAGGTCCACGAATAAAGCTTGGATTGTTGTAGTTACTAAATCTTCTAGTAGATAAACCATTGTATGTACCGTTATCTTCTAGTAGATAAACCATTGTATGTACCCTTAAATCTTTTATGATAATTATTTATTAAAAAGATTATTCCACGTCTTATTTTTAATTTTGTGACGTAATAATCTTAAATTTGAAATATTATTTATTTATTATTATTATTTTCAAGATGTGATTTGTGATTATCAATGAGAATTTCCCCCATTTTCTTTTAAATATTTTTGGTTTTTTTAAGTATTTTTTAGTTCTCTAACCTCCAAACTGTTAAATCGAAGCCCCATAAATGAAGAACAACCCACGTGATTCACGAGGATGTCCAATTCTCATTGGACATTCAAATTTATAGTCCACGTGAAAAATGAGTTAAATTTTCCTTTTTTTATTTTTTATTTTATTATTATAGAAAAACCATATCCTAAGCTCGTTATTATAACATCAATAATATCACTTTTATTAATATTAGCCTTAAGCTCATCTCTATCTTGTTTGTATTTTATTTAATAATTAATAAAATAATACTCTATTAAATAAATTTAAATGAATAAACACGTCACTCGTCATTTATATAAATATATTATAAGTCTAAAATTATAATTTGTACTTTCTTTTTTTTTTTTCAAAATTAAAATTTTAAAATATAATTAGCACAAATTTATATTTATTAAATAATTGATTTTTAAAAATTCAAAAGACATAAATTTATTAGACGAAATTTATAATTAAAAATTTAAAAACTAAAATTATAATTTAACTTATTAAAAATACTAAATTACAAATATACCCTTGAATTTGGGAATTTATTTAAAAAATATATTTATTCTCAAATTGTTTATAAATATTTTAAAATTATAAATAAATAAAATTGATAACTTAAAATGTGGTAAAAATTGATAACAGTGAGGTTGAGGCTGGTTACGATATGAAACAGATAAAAATGGACAATATCTATTAGCGGTGGGCTTAAGCAGTAATAAATGATATCAGCTCCTAATTCGACAAATTGAGCCAATTTCAATTTTGATTTGTTGGCTATTTGTTTCATAGCTCTAATTTGAGCTGCAGATCCTACTCTGGAGACGAAAATACCCACGTTAATAGCAGGTCTGGTTCCAGCATTGAATAGATCCGCAGATAAGAATATTTGTCCATCGGCCATGGAAATTACATTAGTAGGAATATAAGCTGAAACATCATAAATGATATCAGAGTTAAACATCATTAGTCTATAAAGGAGTGTATCCAAAGATCTTATATCTATTAGAGAATGAAACTAAGTATTCCTTATGAGCGTGAAAGTCTCTCACTAATAGATATGTTTTTAAACTGTGATGAGACGGAAATACTTAACGGGCTAACCGAGGAGCTCCTACCGAAGGCGTGGGCCCCACAGTGTACAATTTTTCAATTTCAGAAACTGTGGCCACAGTGCCTACCCGCCTTCTTCCTTTTCCACCTCCGACCTATAAGACTCAACTTCCCTCCCATTTCATCCCCCACGGATCTCGCTTCTATTATCTCTCTCTCTCTGGATTCACTTTCCGCATTTTCTTCCTCCCTGTTTTTTTCTTTTTTTGCTGAAATTTGTTTCAATTCTGATTGGCGAAGTCGCTTTCCATGGCGATTTGTAGAGAATTGGCGGGTGAAAAATGGGTGTTGATGACCACTGCACAAACGCCGACGAACATTGCGGTGATTAAGTATTGGGGGAAGAGGGACGAGGCCTTAATTTTGCCTGTCAATGATAGCATCAGTGTTACTCTTGATCCGAGTCATCTCTGCACTATCACCACCGTCGCTGTTAGTCCTGACTTCGAGAAGGATCGAATGTGGCTCAATCGCAAGGTAAGGTTTCTTGGAACTTCTCTTTCTTTTGCTCATTTGGTGAAATTGCATGTGATTTTGGAGATTTGTGGTTGTTGTGGAATCTGGTGCGTTCTTTGTTGTTGTGAACTTTAGTCAACGGTGATTTTGATGAAATTGATGTCGTAATCTTCTCTGTTTTGGAATGAAAATTTTGGAAGTTTCAGTTCTCCTTTGGTTCGTAATCCACGGTAGCTCTTTTGTTTGATGATATGCGTTTGATAACACTAAATCCAGGAATGGATGTGTAAGTTTACTCTTGAAAAAAGGATTCAGCGTTGGCTTAAGTCCATGAGGTTGATGCTCGGCTGAATGTGGTGGTTCCAGTAACAAAATCAATTGGAAGTTAGTTTTTGGCTTGAGAACTTCTATGGAGGAGAGATCTTATTTTGTGTTGGGCAATGGAGCTTACTACTTGCTTGGATGAATGTAGACCTCATTTCTCTACTCTTCTTGGTCCCTTTTGCCCTCTTTGATAGCGTGAATAATACTGCAGTGGACATTTTTGTGAGATCTCGCATTGGTTGGGAGGAGAACAAAACATTCTTTATAAGGGTGTGGAAACCTCTCCCTAGTAGACGCATTTTAAAAACCTTGAGGGGAAGCCCAAAGCGTACAATATCTGCTAGCGGTGAGCTTGAGCTATTACAAGTGGTATTAGAGCCAGACACCGGGAGATGTGCCATCTAGGGGCTGTCATGGACACAAGGCGGTGTGCCAACAAGGATGCTGGGTCCCGAAGGGAGGTGGATTTTGAGATCCCACATTGATTGGGGAGAAGAACAAAACATTTTTTATAAGGTTGAAGAAACCTCTCCCTAGCAGGCGCGTTTTAAAAACTTAGAGGGAAAGCCTGAAAGAGAAAGCCCAAAGCAAACAATATTTGTTAGCAGTGGGCTTGGGCAGTTACCGTTTTAGTTTCTTAATGGTGCTTGAAATTATAGAATCTGAAGTGCTCAATGATTAGAAGGCTTTAGAATGGTGTCTTCTTATGCAGAAAGTAGAACTTTAGAGGTCAAAGATACCATGGATTCTAGGAGATTACTTTTTGGCAGGTCTAGTAACTTCCCATCAGAATTCCTTTCCAGACACTTAATTGAAGGGTTTATTTTCCCGTGGGTATCTTGTTGTTGGCTGTACCAATGCCCCTTGATAGGGTCCAAACCAGAACCCGGCTAACTACCTCATATGATCGATACTGCTCGTAAAGTGGGAACGTACATTCATGTATACATTCCTAGACACAATTACCATCGTTTCCCTATCAAATTGTTGGAAATGTGATGCAATAAACTTTCACGACTTTGTTTCTGTAGTTTTTTTGCTGGTTCATGATGGGGTTTCTTTTCTGGTTAGTGTAGGAGATATCTCTTTCTGGAGCCAGGTACCAAAATTGTTTGAGGGAAATACGCAGTCGAGCTAACGACGTTGAGGATAAAGAAAAGAAGATTAAGATAGCAAAGAAAGACTGGGAAAAGTTGCATGTATATATTGATTCATACAATAATTTCCCAACTGCTGCTGGCCTGGCTTCCTCTGCTGCCGGTTTTGCTTGTCTTGGTAAAAACCTGACTTCACTCTTAATTTTGGAATTCTCTTTTCGATTGGTTTCCGGGCTTACGGTTTCGCGAACTAGAGGGGTAAGGGAGATTAAAGGAACATATAGACATGTTGTTTCGATTAGATATGTTGGAAAATTTTGAAAATGTTTGCAAAAAGGACCGAGGATCTATTTGGAACGACCTTTCAAGTGCTTATATATTTTTTAAACATTTCAAAAGTCATTCCAAACAAGCTCCTACCGTTTATCTCGATGTGTGGTTTATTTGCCATATGGTACATATCTTATGAAATATAACTAATATTACGCTGGTATCTGCAGTCTTTGCCCTGGCAAATTTAATGAACGTCAAGGAAGATCATAGCCAGTTGTCTGCTATAGCTAGGTATCCTTGTCCTTTGTCCTTCTTTTTCAAATACAATATTATGGCTGGTTTTATTGTGCCATCCTTTCTTGTTTGGGTAGAGCGCTTATGGGGTAGAGCGCTTTCGGGTCGACCGCGTAGTCATAATATAGACTTCGGATTTGTTATCTGTTATTTCAATGAGATTTCTGATGTTTAATGACATCGATTCATATATTACGAAGTAATCACGACTATTTGAATAATGTAGGCAAGGTTCAGGAAGTGCATGTCGTAGCTTATATGGTGGATTTGTGAAGTGGAACATGGGAAAAGTAAGTTTATCCATTCATATGTTTAAATTTGCAAAGTTCAGGAATGTGACTTGTTCTTCTACGCATATAATCCTGATTTCTGATATACATTATTGAGATTAGTTCTTGTGTTTTCTGATGCACCATTAAGGAAAAGGATGGAAGTGATAGTCTTGCAATTCAACTTGCTGATGAGAAGCACTGGGATGATCTTGTAATTATCATTGCTGTGGTGCGTAGCTTTCCTCTCTCTCTTATGAGCAATAACTATGCTTTGGTTTTTTAAATAAAAATAAAATGAAAAGGGAGGACAAACTGTTCTCCAATCGGCTTGGATGACACAATGACATGATTGTTCATGAAGACTTGTGTGAGATCTTACATCGACTGGAGAGGGGAACGAAACATCTTTGTAAGGGTGTGGAAACCTCTCCCTAGGAGTCGCGTTTTAAAAACTTTGAGAGGAAGCCCGAAAGGAAAAGCTCAAAGAGGACAATATCTACTAGTGGTGGGCTTGAGCTGTTACAAATGGTATCAGAGCCAGACATCGGGCGGTGTGCCAGCGAGGACGCTGAGCCCCAAAGGGGGTAGACACGGGACGGTGTGACAACGAGAAGGGGGTGAATTGTGAGATCCCACATCGACTAGAGAGCGGTGGACTTGGGCTGTTACAAATGGTATCAAAGCCAGACATCGGGCGGTGTGCCAGCGAGGACGTTGAGCCCCAAAGGGGGTAGACACGGGACGGTGTGACAACGAGAAGGGCGTGAATTGTGAGATCTCACATCGATTGGAGAGAGGAACAAGTGCCAGCAAGGATGTTGGGCTCCTGTGGATTGTGAGATCCCACATCAATTGGAGAGGGGAACGAAACATTCTTTTTAAGGGTGTGGAAACCTCTCCCTAGTAAAACCTTGAGGGGTAGTCCGAAAGAGAAAGTTCAAAAAAGACAATAATTGCTAGTAGTAGGCTTGGGCTTGGGCTTGGGCTGTTAAGGCTCGGCTGTAAAAGCCGACCTCAAATCCAAAGAACAATGTGAAATGAATTATGATAAATAATATCCAATAGTTACCATAGCTTTTCCTTCACTCTCCAGTAATCTGCAATGTAATTTTCTATCTTCCTTTCAAGGTAAGTTCGCGACAAAAGGAAACAAGCAGTACATCAGGAATGCGGGAAACCGTAGAAACAAGTTTGCTTTTACAACATAGAGCAAAGGTATCCCAATTAAAAACAAGTTTGCTTTTACTCCATATACATTTCTATTCATCTCTCTTTTCTTTAACAGGAAATTGTACCAAAGCGTGTATTAGCTATGGAAGAAGCTATTAAAAATCGCGATTTTCGGTCGTTCGCACAACTTACATGCAACGACAGCAACCAATTTCATGCAGTCTGTCTCGACACTTCTCCCCCGATATTTTATATGAATGATACATCCCACAGGCAAGCTTAATTACCGAATCGACCTATAAGATTCACATGACTTTCTCCTGCCATTTTGATTAAAAATCTTTGTTTCATTCTGACAAAGAGACAATGTTTCAGGATAATCAGCCTTGTTGAGAAATGGAACCGTTCTGAAGGAGAACCACAGGTCTGATTTCTCCCCTTTCTTGATTTATGTTGGCAGGGATTTTAAATACTGATTTGAGATAGTGTTAAAGGATCGCTAATTTAGAGAATGATCGTGGGTTTATAAGTGAGGAATACTATCTCTATTGGCATGAGGCCTTTTGGGAAAGCTCAAAGCAAAGACACTAGAGCTTAAACTCAAAGTGGACAATATCATACCATTATGGAGATGTGTGATTCTTAACATGGTATTAGAGTCACGCCCTTAACTTAGTCATATCAATAGAATCCTTAAATGTCGAACAAAGAAGTTGTGAGCCTTGAAAGTGTAGTCAAAAGTGACTCAAGTATCGAACAAAGGGTGTACTTTGTTCGAAGACTGGAGTCGAGCCTCGATTAAGTGGAGGCTGTTCGAGAGCTCCATGGGCCTCAAAGGAGACTCTATAGTGTACTTTGTTCGAGAGGAGGATTGTTGAGAGGGAGTCCCACATTGACTAATTTAGGGAATGATCATGAGTTTATAAGTGAAGAATACTATCTCCAATGGCACGAGGCCTTTTGGGGAAGCCCAAAGTAAAGCCACGAGAGCTTATGCTCAAAGTGGACAATATCATACTATTATGAAGATTCGTGATTCCTACTCTTCTCGATGATTTTTATCAGTTTCGAGTTTAGAAAATGAACCAAACTTCCAATAGGATGAATAAAAGAATGATTCTATAGAGCTCAAAAAATAGGATGAATGGAAGTGCTGAAGATTTTTCCTTATTTCAACCAAACTTTCAGGTGGCATATACTTTCGATGCCGGGCCGAATTCGGTTCTGATTGCACGTAATCGAAAAACCGCTGTATCTTTGCTTCAAAGGTTGCTATTCTACTTCCCTCCCAATGCCGAAACGGTATTAGACAGGTAATAACTGGATTTTGAGAATCAATCAATCTATAACTGTATTAATTTCAATCTTGTGCATGATAAATATTCTTTCTTCCATCAGTTATGTTCTTGGTGATAAGTCAATTCTTCAAGATGCTGGGATTAATAGTGTTGAGGATATTGAATCCCTCCCACAACCTCCAGAAATCAACAGTTCATCCCAGAAATACCAGGGAGATGTCAGTTATTTCATCTGTACCAGGCCCGGTAAAGGGCCGGTCGTGCTCCCCGAGAGTGAATCACTACTCGACCCGAAAACCGGGCTGCCAAAGAACCTCTAGGGATTGTATTAGTCCTCTGCAACCGAGTATTCTAAGGTAAACTTGTGTTTGTTCACTTTAATCCAGTTAATGTTGAGAATAATTTCAGTGTCTTAGTATTGTTTGGTTGTTTTGTTTAGGGGTGAGCTTCCATTGTCAAAGAGAGTAAAATCATGACAAAATAAATGAATTGAGATTGAATCTTCCCTTCTTTCATTGTATGCATCATCATATGTTGATATCATTAGAGGAGCCAAGGCCGATGCTAAATTTATGAAATTTTCATACGGAAAAAATTGTAGGTAGGTTTAGTCTCGGTTGGAGTGGAGAACAAAGTATTTCTTATAAGGGTGTGAAAACTTCTCTCTATAAGACGCGTTTTAAAATTGTGAGGCTAACAACGATACGTAACTGGGTCAAAACGGATTATTTGTTATCGGTGGGCTTGGGCTTGGGTTTGGACTGTTTCATCCTCCTTCCATTCAATCCCGTCATTGCCACTTACTGTCGACAATATTTTAGTTTTTTCTTCTTACAACTCCCATTTGAACTGTTCCGTGACCCTTGTTCCAAACGCACGAGGAGACAAATTCAATGATCTACGATTAGCATAAATGAACAATGGTGGACAAACTCAGGTGAAATTACCATCTTACCTCCATAGCACACAATGTGCATAGTGTTAGATGAACACGATTCTCTTTATCTACTTTGAGCATAAGCTCTCGTGACTTTGTTTTGGGCTTTTCAAAGTATTCCTCACTATTAAATCCACGATCATTCTTTAAATTAGCCGATGTGAGACTTTCATCATTCAACAAATAGATCACATACGTGAGGAGAAGAGATCAAAATGCAAATAAATAAAAATTCAAGGGTTAAATGGTTGAGTTAGAAAATTAAGTGACTTATTCTATAATTTTGTAAAATTTAGAGCTATAAAATTGTTTAATTATCAACTTACTTTTGGACAAATCCTATTTTGGCGGGATATTTATTGCCCGACTATTAAAAGGGGAATTCCGAAATACCCAAAGTAAAGGGGCCGAATAGCAATTTACCAAATTTAAAAATCTATGTATATAACAATCAATTGGATGTCTGTGAAGAACCGGACGAAGAAATGGCGGGAATATCTCGCTTGCAAGTGCATCTCCTTCATTCTACTCCTCCCGCTCTCAAGTCGACTTCGCTCCTCTCGATGTTTCCTCGCTTTTCTCGCTCTACTCCGCGTAAAATTTTCACTCCTCGTCTTCTCTGTTCGACTCCTCAGGTTCGTCTCCGTTTTTCTATCTCATTTTGCATGAAAAGTTGTGTGATGTGTTCGTATATTTGTTGTGATATAGAGTTCTTCTTCGGAGGCTGGTTCGAGTTCGAGCAGTGTTGGTGATCTTCTCGATTATCTCAATGAGTCCTGGACTCAGTTTCATTCTACAGGTATTGATTGCTTTTGTATCATCTTTTATCGCTATGTTCTTTTGCTTTTTTCTTTTTGGTGTTTCGATTCGAAGAGGAGTTCCTTGCGTATTGACTGGATAATAAATCCTAATTAGCGCTGCGGCTGCTAGTTTTTTGATTCCGTAGAGTGATTTGAATTGTTTCGAGTCGACGTGTTCGTTATTCTTATTATTGTTGTGCATTAATGATTCGTCGTTCACTTCTCACCTTAGAGGCCGAGGTTTGGAATTTTTATGGCGGAATCTTAGATACCTTCGATTCAACATTCTGGTGATAGAATTTATGATGCGGATACCTCGGTCAGTGTTTTATATCTTTTTTTTTTCTTTTTTTTTTCTCGCAGCCGAATCGAAACGGCATTTAGTTGCTGCTGGTTTTCATTTGCTAAACGAGGATGAAGAGTGGGACTTAAAAACCTGGTGGATGCTACTTTTTTACACGAAATATGTCTTGTTTGGTTGCCATTTCCGTAGGAGAAAAAGTGAGTTCTAGAATTTTTCTTCTAATTTTCAGATCTGCAAATCATTCCGCTTATTTGTCATTCAATTTATGTGGCTTAGGAAACTACAGAATAAATCTGGCTAGCCAGCCACTTGACTTGTTTTACAAGATTTTTGATCTTGGTCTACTCATCAGTTTGTAGCTTTCCTTGAGTCAAGCTATTGTGCTTTGAGAGCTCTTATTGATTCTTGTGAATCTCCTAGTGACTTGAAGAGTGAACAGGCAGTTCGAATGGTTGCTTTATTTGATAATGAAGAGGTAATAGTTTTGCTGTGTACTATATGAATGATATGCAGACCGGAAGTCTTGCATCTCTTGGATCGGTCAAAGATATTTGCATATTTACTCTCTCTGCCATATAAATTCTTTGTAATTTGATCATGTCTATTGCTATGATAAGATAGTACTGCCTATTAAGTATAAAACTGAAGATTTTAGGCACCTTTGATCACCAGAAATGCAGTCTATTTCTGTTTCCTTCAGCCATTAGAAAGATGAGTAGAAGTGAATTTTCTAGATAAGGGGATGAATGATCATCGGTCCATACGCCGGTGGTATACTTTCTGCTAGAGGGCAAAAGCAATACCTTCCAAGCGCATGAAAACCAAAAGAGATTAGAAGTTTCCCAATCATTTTTATTCCAAGTCTCTATGTTTTCTGAAGAACCAGAAGAATTATGTAGGAGACAGACAATGATGATAATTTGTAAAAGTCTAAGCCCACCACTAGCAGATATTATCTGCTTTGGCTCATTATGTATCGCCGTCAGCCTTACGATTTCAAAACACGTCTACTAGAGAGAGGTTTCCACACCTTTATAAGTAATGCTACATTTTGGTTGGAGACCCTTATAAGTAATGCTACATTTCCCTCTTCAACCGAGGTAGGATCTCACATAATTTGTTGCACCACCTAGGCAGGATATAAAATATAGAGACCCTCCAATATGGAAGTATCCTCTCAATATCTTCTAGTTTTCACTCTTATGAGAAAATGAGGGAAAACTATGAGCTTCTAAAATCAATCTTCCAACTGCTATGTCTACGTCTCACTACACTGCACTGTAATCTTAGTAAAAGAGTGCATCCCAAAGAATTATTTCTTATTTGATACTTCCAAAACTATGTTCACTTTTTACATATTAGCTTATTCTAAGGTTCCAACTCATCTAGCTCAAATTCTATATTCAATCCCAAGCATCCTTAGCAAGATGTCTGCTGCATCAAGATCTTTCAGATCTTCGGAAGGTCATTGATGAATTAAGGTTCTTTCTGCAAATAAATAATTATCATTTCTCTATTGTTCATGTCAATAATCTCTTGCTTGTCTTTAAGTAACCTAGTATGATCATTACTTGACAGCTGTTTCACACACAAACACATACATATATTAGTCGTTAACTTTTCCTATTTAGGTGGGCTCAGGTTCAATTCAGGAAGCTGGTGCACCCACCATGTTTCAGGCCATGAGGCGCATAGCCAGCTGCTTAGGCCAAGGATACGTTGGTGAAGGTGCTATTGAGCGCGCTTTTAGGCAATCATTTCTCGGTACGTTCAATTCAAAGTAGAAAAGGATTTATTTATTTTTTTTTTTTCCTTGAAAGATCAAGTACTATATATTTAACGTGCGAACTAACTCATGATAGGAAAAGTAACTGAAATAGTCGAGTAGCAAACTTAAATTAATCGAGTATATGAACTTGAAAAAGTTGGAGGTGTTCTGATTGAATTTCAAATGCTTTGCATCTCATCGAAATTTTTGCTGGTTGTAGGTGTTGCATGGTTTAATTTGAATCACCTTTACATGTTTCCTATGACTAAAAAATTACTTTCTAATACGGTTATCCTTGAGTCAGAGCGTCGATATTATTGTTGGTTCATCCACATGTAGATAAATGTAAACTGGTTGGAAAAATTACATTTTCAACAAAACGTTTGTGTACTTTATTGGGAATCACGAACCTCCACAATGGTATGATATTTGTCCACTTTGAGCATAAACTCTCGTTGGTTTTTGCTTTTGGTTTTTCCAAAATGCCTCATTCCAATGGAGATAGTATTCTTTACTTATAAAACTCATGATCATCCTCTTAATTAGTCAACGCGGGACTACTCCTCTTAATAATACTCAACATACTTGATTAGTTTACAATAAAAATTAATTTGAACACAGCATGAAGAACACCACAGGCCCGAAATGCACAAAGGAGTTGTCATAAAGCACAATGCTAACCAGCGCTATGCTACAAGCGGAGTCGCATCTTTTCTTTTCAGAGAAATAGGCAGAATTCATAACTTACCAACGCCAGGTATGTCACGGGCTTCTACTGTTTCCCAGTACTATCTATTATTTCAGTTCTTGCGCTGACTGAGTCCAGTTATGAACATTCCCTTAACCATATGCTAATTTTCATTCTACTGTTGTGAACTGTTATTAATATTGAAATTAGATATGGTTCCTTTCCGAGTACCTAAATTATAACTTTGATTGATTCCATCTAAATTTGGCATATTTTGGTAGATTTTTTGTTTTAGTTTTTTCTTTAATTATTAATATTCACAAATGCTGCGTGTGGTGATGGTAGGATTTTGTAGTGAGAAATGCCACGGGTTGTGGATCTACCATTGGTCCAATACTTGCTTCTGGAGCTTCCATCCGTACTGTGGATTGTGGTATCCCTCAACTTTCTATGCGCAGGTACAACATACATAGCTGATTCCTCCTCTTCACTGTATGCTATTGCACTCCATTTATTGAAAGGGTTTTGAAATGGTAAAAATTATTCCAAAGCATGAGTTTAATTATTTCAAATTAATTTTTATGGTTTGAATATTGCCTTTGAAAATATAAAATCAAATTTTAAATTAATTTTAAATGATTAAATACATGACAAAATTGATTTTAATCATTTCAAAATTACTTCTAAATGTTGTGATGTCATTTTGTGATCCGTAATGGGGTTGATATTCATATCATTATTAGTAGGGGGGAAAGCTCATAATACTGTTGCCTCAAATATATATTGTGAATTTTTTTTTTTTAAATGGGAAACGAAAATATCTTCGTCCAATGGAGTTAAATTCTCTTTCACATTTTGGAATAATTTTAATTCGATATTTTTGAACCATAGATTGATTAGAGTTGACAGACTGTTATCAATGATTATTTTAGGTCTTTGAATTTTTTTTTATTTTTTAAAATAAGTTTATACAGACTACTTTTACTTTTAACTTATAGATTATTAAAAAAGATATAGTTTCTAAGCCTTTTTTTATATAACTATTTGATCTTTTATTTTTGAAAATTGTGTTTGAATTTTGAAAACATTTGTAAAATGTATAATGGAGAAATTCATACCTAAAAATTATAAGCTTAATTTTTTAAAAAAATAAAATTAAACAATATTTAAATAGTTATCAAAATTTGGGTAAGAATTCAATCTTTCCTATAGACAAATTTGGAAAAGTCAGGTACACTTTTTAAAAAACTAAAAATGGTTAGTACAAGCTGCATTAATGTATTTACAGGCCCGTCTTTGAACATAATCCATGTAGGCAACTTGTTTTTGGCGGCATAACAGAAATTTGCGGGAAGGAAGATGTAGTAGACACAGCTTACAAGTGTATTTCAAGGCCTTTTATGAAACGTTTTCGAGCATTGACAGAAAGCTGAAGCTGGATGTTTGATTGGAGGGAAAGGGAAAGGGAAACAACACAACAGGTATTTACTACCCATTTATGCGTTCTCCTAACATTTACATTCGAAAACAAACATAAAATGCTACACATTTTTTAAACTAAGAAAAAAAAAATGCAAAATCCACCACCCTCCCTTTTAGGCGGAAAACAGAAACAGAAACAAATTTAAAGGTCTCATTTAACAACTTTTTTTTGTTTTAATTTTAAACCATCCATAGTTAGTAATAATTTTATCAGCTTTTTTTTTCAAAAGCTCTAGGTTTTTTTTTAAGTGGTGGCTTCTAATTACTCTTTGATTTTTTGTTTTAAAATGAGACCTTTAAAACTCAAATTTGATTAATTTTAAACCATCTATAGTAATAATTTATCATTTCCTTTCTGTTCCCTTTCTGAAAAGAAAACCGTTATAAGTGTTGCTTTTTTTATTTTCAAAAGCTCTACGTTGTTAAACGAGACATTCTAATTACTTTTTGATTTTTTTGTTTTCAAGGATGGAACAAATTTTTTTGCTTTCAATCTTTAAAAGAATTTTGTTGAGTTTTTTCATTGAACTTTGAGACAAAAAGTTTGAAAGAAAAAATGCAGTGTGATTGACATTAGTAAATATATTGAAAACAGTTTTAATGCCAGAAGAGAATTTCAATTTTGGAAAGGGAAATATGTTTGAAATCATCTTGGCTGTGTTCAATATATATACTTTTTCTTTTTCTTCCTATTTTTTTTCGAAAACGAACATCTGAAGAAAAAAAGCCACAGTTTTATTAGAAAGGATTAGGCAAGTAGGAGGCAGACTCAGAGTTTTATTATTAGAGATTTGGCAACTAGAAAATTGAAATATATTTTTAAAGCTTAATTTTTTTCGGGATACAAAAATGACAGATTATTTTTACAAATATGGATTTAAAAAATCATGACATCTAATAACCATTTAATTTTTTTTTGTTTTGAAAACAGTGATTATTTTACCATTAATTAATGAACCTAGAAAGAATTAGTATTTATATTCGTAACTTTTAAAATTATTAGCTAAATTTCAAAAGCAAAAATAAGTTGACATCAATGAACCTAAAACGTAGTATTTATATTCGGAACTTTTTAAAAACTAAAAAATAAAATCCAAGTAATTATATAGTGGGCCTAAAATTAATTAATGTTTACCAAAACTTGCTTTGTTTTTCAAAATTAATTATAGAAAACAGAGAATAAAATGATAGTTAATCACATCACAGAAATTTGTTTTATACTCAATTCAAACTAAAAAGTCGTTTTCAAAATTGAAAAACAATATGTACAAAAGGAAAAAGGATAGCCATCAAATTGGGGTTGTTTTTCAATTTAAAAATCAATCAAATGCTTGGGAAGTATAAAATCTACGCTTATCAATTATTAAATGAATCTGGTTTACGAATGTATATTTCATTCTACAGTTATTTAAAAATATATTAGTTCCTTAAGGACTCAAAAACTTCAAAACCAATCCAAGCAAAATTGCGAACCATATTTACCAACAAAGAGAGATAAAAGGAATTTGTATCTTACACTGTGGATGCTGAAAGGGATTAATGAATGAATAATCAAGCCACCTCTCAACTAGCTCCAGACGGCTGTAGAAGATGTATTAATCAGAGACCTAAACATTCAGAGTATAGGTAAGCGAGGCTCACGAATGGACCTCAAATAAATCAAGCAATTGGCGAAGACAAAGCAAAGACATCCTTTCCAAACTTCGTCAATCCATTCAGAAACTGTGGGCCTAACAGTTAATACGCTGCTTTATCCTTATATTATTCAAAATGAGAGAAACATGAAAATAATAAACTAGATTATTCTACATCATGTTTATTTTATTTAATGTACCCCATATTGTTTTAAAATTCTGTAATAATTTTCAATTCATCCCACACTATTATTGATGAATATTAAAATTAGATGATCGAGAAAATTACCAACCAAAATTCTATTGATGAAAATTAGGATAACAAAATTGTCATCTAATAAATGAAGTTTTCTTCTAATAGATTACTTTTTTTTCTCCTAGTAATTCACAAAATATTGTAGAAAACTATTATTTCAAAAGTTACAATATTATCTTAATATTTTATAAAAAATTTAAAACTACCATTTGAGTATAAACCTTTCAAAGTTTCATGTAAAAGTTGAGACCCTGAAAAAATCTCATTTTAGATAGCTACCACGGAATTCTAAATATGATAATTTTGAAATGCTCATATAGTCAAATGTAATATTGAAAATTTTGAAAAAAAAAATAATGCTATTTAAAAGAAAAGTAAATTGAAAGGTATTTTTTTTAATTTACCCTCCGCTATGTTCAGAGCAAATACCTTCGTCGAAGACCTGCTGCACATGCGAGACGAATGCTAGTTTTTCTATTAACTTTTCAACGTCATAGGGAGGCAAAAGAGATTGTATAGCTCTGCTTGTTGGTGCAACTTTCAGTCCATCGACATTCTCGATCATTCTAAAAACATGCAAGAATCATCCAATGAAACTAATTGTGGGAAGTATCCACATAAAGTTCATAAAACTAATAGGTCATTAGATTCTACCTCAGTTCTCTATGCTCGGCCCCACCATTTGAGGAAAATAAGCATTAAACGAAACGGTGTAGGCTTAGCCGATGCCCTTATAGAGACAAAGCTAATCCAAAAGCTGAAGGCAAAAAAGGATGTTAGCAAAATAAATCGAAGAAACAAAGCTGGTAAATGCTTTAAAGGTAAGGAATAAAAAATTGCAAGTAGTTAAAATGACTATACATTGGGATTTCGATCGAAAAGATGTTAGGCCGATTCCTCATATGCCTAAGAAGTCAGGAAAATCTTGATTGAAACCAATTTCTTTTTTATAGAAAGAGCACTCCAGGAGCATAAACAAGTTTAGTGGTTTCATCCCTCTATAATCAATGGGAACTTCGAAGCTGTCTGAGGCAGGAGGAACCTCATATTAGACACTGCAGCGTCTGAAAGAACAGGAAAGCTGACCAAAAAACTATTTATACCCGACTCTTGTTGTCGAATCGAAGGGGCTTGACTTGTACCTGGCTCTAAAAGAGTTTTCTCCAAGCAAGCTGGCTTTTGAGATTTTTTTTTTTTTTTTTTTTTTTTTNGTTCGAACACAAAGAATAATATGACAAAGATTTGTAGTGTGAAGTTTAGTTTCATTATTGTGATTATACTGCTAGTCGTGTCTCGTTCCGGTAAAATTTTTAGTTCTTCATTCTTTGTTTGTTTTGAATCTCTTTGAAGGTTAATATTTCAACGGAGAAGCCTTCTAAAACAATCGCATGTTAAAGTGTTCAAAAGTTTCAAACATAATGTTAAGTGTTTAAATATTATTGCAGTTGAAGTTGAAGCGATGCCACCACTGGTATTAAAGAGAAGCCTTTTAACACAAATTGCATGCAACACATCTGCTGATTGTGGAGATCATACTTGTTCATGTTCTGAAATCGGTTTATGCATCTGTTTTAAATTCGCAACCAAAGAATTGAAGCTCAACGATATGCAATTTGAAAACTTCAAAGAAGAGGATGCCAAGAATTAAGTGTTAATAAGAATACGACTATGTTTTGATTCATAGTGTGTGGGACTAAATTCTATCTATGGAATACAAGAATAATGATTAATTAGCTATATATGATATAGGTATATTTTGTTATCTTTTTGAAATTTTTTTTTTTTTTTTTTTTTTTGTGCAGATGAGATGGATTGATCTTCACTATCGTGCCCCTTCCAACTACCAGTTGACTATATACAAGCCCAAAAAATCAAAATCATGTGAGAAATAAGGGAAGATAGCAAAATAAATGGAAGGAAAGTTTAACTGTTCATCTGCAATGAAGTGAGTTTAAATGGAGAGTTATTCATGTTCATACCGAGAAAGGGGATGACGAACTTGCTCATGACGAGGAATAAAAGGCATTTCAGGCTGCTGGAAAAGATACCGAGAGGAATGCAGAAAAATGCCTGATGTGTAGTGTGCATCAAACCATTGAACTAAAAAGGCCAAATAACTCTATGGAGGGCCAGACCTTATATCTTCAGGGCAATGGGCACCTAGACAGGGAAAGAGTGGCCGAGGTTGAGATTCAGAAGAATCCTATCCGAGCAGATCCCAAAATTCGTTCACAACAGCAGGACGTAAAACTCTGTTTACCATGGTTTTTCCATCTTAACTACCTGCTAATAAACCAACAACAAAATCAGCAAACAAACTAAGTAAACAACGATTCTTAAACTTTTAAAAATCACGTCCATAAACTTTATTCAAAATTCTGTGTTCAATAAATCTTTCCTATTTGATGTTTTTTAAAATTTACAAACTTAGGATCATAACATATAATTCAATTTCATATCTAAGAGATAGATAGATTAATTTTAAAAAAATGTTAAATATGTAATGGACAAAATTAAAAGTTTGAGGACCTATAAAATACATTTTAAGGTTCATGAACTAAATAAACACAAATGAAAATTTAATGACTAAACTTGTAATTTATCCTAGATAATATAAGGATTCTCTACCTAACAGAGACCTGAACAGTAACCATCAGCATTGAATCATTAGCAAGAGAAATCGAGTGGAAATACTATGAGCTCAACATAGACCTGTGTGTGCATCTAGTATAGAAAAGGAAAGCAAATCTGCAATCGATAGACAGAAATTTTATTCAATTTTCCTTGTACAAAAAAAGTTATTATTAGAGACTTCGTCTTCAGAGAAATCAAGTGGAAAGACTATTAATCACCTTCACCACCACTACGTGCTCAATGTAGATTATGCACTGAAAGGAAAGGAAATCTACGATATAGTCGCCAATTTATGCTAGCTACCTTGTACAAAAAATAAATGTCTACTTTCCAGAAATCAAATGGAAAATCTACTTAGAACACCGCATATAAGAACTCAACGTAGTCATGCATGCGTATAGAAAACAAAAGGAAAGGAAAGGAAAAAGAACCTACAATATAATTAGAAATTTTATTCTATCCGCCTAGTACAGAAAAAGCCATTAGGGATCATGTAAGCATATCGAGAAGGAAATGAGACTCACGATATCATAAGCAATTTTATTCTATCTGGTTTTAGACATGTAATTGGAGTATTCCTCCGAGAAATCACCACCGATAGCAACAAATACCGGGTAAATAACACGATGTCAAGTGGAGTGATTCAGACAAGTAAAACAGACAGCGATCTTCGTCGAGATGAGTAAACAATAAACCACTTACTCGATAAGCGTTTGCAAGGATTCTGAAAAGCCTCACGAAGCAACCGATCAACCTGAAGAATACGTCGAATTCATTGCCAGGAATCGATCGAGTGATCAGCACCGGTCATGAACGATCGAGAGTCGGCGACCTTCCATGACTCAGGACTTTCGAGATCCTCTGCTGCAGAGTTCTCCATGATAAGAAAAAGGACTAAAACTCTATTCTCTTGGCAAAAATCGAAGCAAGAACAAAAAAGCATCGAAAACAAAGATCGCAGGTAATCGACAACTCAGATTGCATGATAAATCTCTAGGAGTTAAGGCTGACAGGATTTACGAGATCCTCTGCTGCAGAGTTCTCCATAATAAGAAAAATGACTAAAACTCTATGCTCTTGGCAGCAATCGAAGCATTAGAGAACAAAAAAGCATCGAAAACAAAGATCGCAGGTAATCGACAACTCAGATTGCATGATGAATCTCTAGGAGTCAAGGCTTCAGTGTCGGAAAGCGGTAGAACAAGAAAATTAACCGAGGGATGAAATTTGGCGCGATTGATGGCAACGGTGGATTTTCCCGTGCCATACAGATCGCAGCAAGACAAGAAGTACAAGACGTGGAGAAAAAATGCATCAAAACAAAGATCGCAGATAAATTAAGGAACTCGGATTGCATTGAATCTCTAGGAGTTAGGGTTCCGCGCTCTTAGTCCCAAACTGAACTTCGGCGGGAAACTGTTGAAAGAAGAAATAAAACATATTTTTTGGACTCCGACCTATTTATAGCGTAGGAAATGTTTGAATATTATTTATTTATTTTTAATATTTATTTAATTTTCTTTTTTCGGTACATTTTTGTCACAAGTTTTATTATCTCAATTTTCAAATATGTTCTTTTATTTTTTCAACTTTATCGAAAACATATTTTACTATTATTTTCAATAAAAATTAATATAGGCAACTTTTTGGGTTCATTTTTCTCGTAGATAAAAAATGTGTATTTAACACGTGGTCTAAACCACATGTACTAAAAAATGTTGACACTGACCTAATAGATTAGCAATTTACATTTTAAATCATTTTAAAATATATATAAAATTTAACAATTTACAAATAATATTAAAGTATTTTATAATATTTTAAGGTCATCTCAACTCTAAGTTAATGGTATTACATTTAGCTGTCAACTCAAAGGTGGTTAACCACCTCTGAACTAAATCAACTCAATATTAGTTTTTATCATATTATTGGTATAGAACACAAAAAAAAAATCACATTATAAAAATAGAATACAGAATATTATTCGTTAGAAATCACGAACTTTCACAATGATAGGATACTGTTCACTTTGAACATAAGATCTCATAACTTTATCTCTAGTTTCTCCAAAAAAACCTACGGCCTCATACCAATGAAATCAATGCTCTTAATTAGTCAGAATAGTCGACCCCTCTAATAAAGTAAATTATAGAGTCTCAATATGAAAAGATCTCTTAAATATCATAGGATCCATCGTTAAAAATGTTTTCCATGGAAATAATTATTGAAGTTTAATTAAAGACTAGTTATTTTTAAACTAAGCAAAGTGTATAAAATAAAGTATAACATCTTGGATTTGAAGGAAATTATAAAAATAAAAAAAATTAATCAAATATTAAGGAAATTGCTTCCAAAAAATTTATAAAAATTAATCAAATATTAAGGAAATTACTTCCAAAAATACTCTCAAATTTCAAATATCAAGGAAATTCAAATCTTTGATTATATCTATATATATATATATATATATATATATATATATATATATATTTTTTTTTTTTTTTTTTTTTT